TTTGCAGGGCCAATCATAAATAAACGTATCTCGAAGTTACGCATACAATGTTTGTCTTTTTTTTTTTCAGTGTTTTTGCCATTACTCCGAAACCAAACATTACAATAATAAATATTATTCTACACAAAATTAAAGAAAAGAAAATTTAATATAAATTTCATGTTTAGTTTTTGTCATGTTGTGTCAACGGGTGCGGAGTGAGTTGACTATTTGCTATTTCCGATTTTTCATAAATAAATCATAATCTATGCAATTCACCATTAAATTGGAGAAGCATTGGAAAACAATTAAAATGTGATAAATAAATCGTGTTTGAAAAGATTCTAATAAATTATCTAAGTTATCTATGTTTCAAATGCATTTTAGTGCTATCAGTTGAAAAATAAAGAAGCTATCAGTGTGACATGGTTCTAACTACTGATAACGTTTCAAAGTAACTGGTTTGAGAAGGCCCTAACTGCGATACACTACGTAGTACTTTATTTAGAATTATTTTAATCAGCGTTAAACATGAAATTATATCATTTATATTATAATTAAAGATCCTTTCTTTTGGTATAACACATTTGAATGGGTTATTTCAGAAACGAAATGTGTGATATTTTCATAATTTTTAGAAAAATCGAGAAAAATATATTATACTTAAATTCTAGCAGATAAAATATTGAAAGAAAAATACATAGTATATATATAGAATATATATACAGACCGCCCAGTGAAATCGAGCTTCCTTCGCCGGCAGACTGTCCGTGAATTTCGGGGACACTCGAAACAGGAATACCAATTGAAAAAGAAACTTTTAGCATCTACAGAAGTGTAATAAAGAAAAGAGTCTCAACCTTAATTTGTTTTCATATGTGTTCCTCCCATGATACTTCATCCTAATGAAATTTCAAATGTAAGCGAAATTAATTCAAATTGGGTGATTTCAAATGGATTGACCCGTTATGTATTTGCAGTACTATTCTATTCTCGGACAATATTTTTTAATTCTAGGAAAATATATTTTTTTTTTCTTTTATAGCTAATCACAGAATTCTTTCATATTATTCTAAGCCTATATTACTTCTAACAATGAGATTTTACGTTTCTGCTGAAGTCATTTTTTAACAAATTATCTCTACGTTCCTTGCTAAACATCTACCATCATGATTTTTGTTTAATCAATGTGTCAAGAAGAACTACATTATTTTCGCCATGAGAAATGGATATAATACACAGAACATTGCATTGTTTTCCTAGAACGATAAGAAACTCATTATTGGAAATATATAAACAAATTTATGGATATACTTGCGGATACAGATATTACAGATAAATTAACATTTTTTTGGGGGGAGGGGGAGGGGAGAGGGTTCAGCCCGAAAGCCTTTCCCCTGTCCTCCTCGAGTAAATCCGTCTGTGCTTTAAAGGTCGACTGATGGATACTATGTTATGTGCATACTCCTCAGGATGTCCCACAGGTAGTATTGCCCAAAATCGGTCTTGGTCTTGCACTTTGCAAAAAAAAAACATGTATATATACATTTATATATATATTGTATTTTATAATCAAGAAATTCCTGGGGAATAGGAGAGAAAAAAAAATAATAAAAAAAAAAAAATTTAACTCCTCTAATTTTTCATTCGGGTTTAGGTTTCTTCTATGTAAAAAAATACAGTAATGTACCTATAGTAATAAGGTGATAAGTAACTGCAAGACTATTGGAAGACTCTTGCGCAAGACCAAGACCATGACCAAGACTGACTTTGCGAGACCAAGACTCGTCTCGGTCTCGCATTTGGGCAACACTACCCATAAGTAGAAGAAAATATTTCAAAGGTTGATAGTAGGCATCAAGATACACAAAAACGTTTATATAAACAATTGCCTAAGTTCTAGCAGAAAAGTAGGAAATTTAAGATTTGTGTTTTTTTAAGCAAGTCACGTTTTTTGTTGAATAGGAAGCAATGCCTTACAAAAATATTTGATATAAGTAATTATACAATGCTGTATAGTAAACTAGACAAAATTTACTTTAAATGAAAGTAGATTCTGTCATTGTTAAAACTATTTAAAGAGGGCGTTTGAACACTCTTAAGTTCATTCTAAAAAAAAGTCTTAAATTATTTGTGATTTTTTTTATATGTTATTTTTATATGTTATTTTATAAATTATTTATATATTTTTTATTTGTGATTATATATATATATATATATATATATATATATATATATATATATATATATATATATATATACATAAAACTTTTCAATTGAATGCGAAAGATTGACTTTTAATTATGCGAAATGTAATTATAAGTTTTTTTAAAAAATAAATCTACATTTATGGTTATTATGGCTGGTATATTTATTTATTTATGGCTGGTAATACAATAACTTCACTCATCATATATATACATAATATATATTTTGTATATATATGTACTATATGGTAGTTATTCACAATGAGCTTTTTTTAATTTTACGAGTTTGTATTTACTACGCAATAAAAAAATAATTAAACAATTTATACTAACAAATCCCAAATGATACCAACATAATATTAATGAAAGGTAGCTTACCCTCTTGAAGTATTCTACTCAGAGCAGTGACTTGGAATGGGCATATCCAGCCGATTGGGACAAAAAAACCTGCTGAGTCAAACTGATTCGATAACTGTCAGATATATACTTCAAAAGGAAGTTTGAAAAAAATAAATATATAGACTAAAAACTTAAGTTCAAGCATTTTAAATATTTAATTTTTTTCCCTTTAGTTTTCCCCATGTATGGACTTAATAAACATAATTCACAGCTACTTTTTCACCTTATGAGACGGAATGAAAAATAATAAAAGATATACTACACTATCAGCATTTCAATATGGATGAAATACTGTATAAAATATATATAGTCATCTTGTAGTTCCGTCTTTATAAATTTTTATCCAGATAAAAACCGTTAAAATGTTTTTTAAAAAAGATGCTATAAAATGTTTTATCGAAGAATGAAGAAATTGTTAGCTTGGTAATTTTGATTTTGATTTTTGCTTTATTCCACATGATGGAAGTAAAAACATCAACACGGCGAGATTAATAAAGTGATATATTTATTTTTACTCCCTCACTCCTTTTTGTGCTCAGAATCTAAAATTTCCACTCGCGTTTTATCAAGGATCAAATTTGGTTTGACACCGGTCTGTCTGTCTGTAGTCAAATCGATGTAACGGACATAGCACCTACTACCGTTTATCCGATTTTTATGTAATTTTCAGGAATTGTGCGGGTTGGTGTCCAGTTGGTCTTTCCACCCACATTCGCGCAAACGAATTTTTGTTGGTATCCCAATATTCCAAAAACGGCTCGTTCGATTGAATAAAAGGTAGTTTTGTGAAAAAAAAAATGTAGGGTCAATTTGATTGAATTCTGTCCATTGCTTTCCCTTATATATGTTAAACGTGTTTTCATTACGTCTCTAAAACCGCACGTTCGATTTTACTCAAATTTGGAGGAAATTTAGAGCTTGATAAACGTAAAATGAAATAGGCATCAATATGATCAAATTCAATCTAATACTAAAAAAAAAAAATCCGCTTTCAGATCAGGAAATGTGTTATTTCATATGCCTATAGTTTGAAAACGGCCTATTCGATTTGACCCAAACTTGAAGGAAATTTGAGAACAGTATAGAAATTACTTAGTATTAATTTCATTGAATTCCATTTGATAATTAAAATTAATATAAATGATTGTTAATAATGCAATGACTGTAAAATGTGGGAGGCACTGATCATCAGCTAGTGGGAGTTAGGTAATACAATATTGTTATGGGGTTATAAAATTTTAGGTTTAATTAAAAAATTCAATTGATACTGTATTGTTTGGTCGATTCCAAACGTTACTGGCATGACGCTTACTGCCGTTACTTAGATTTCGTGTCATTTTCAGTGTATGTAAGTAATTTTTACTCTGAATTTGAAAAAAAAAATCTTGTTTGTGATTGTGTTTATTGCCATTGAAGTTCAACCAGTTCGTCATGGTCTCGATTTTCTTCTTAAATATCAAAATTGTGTCAACTTTACTCATATTTTTATGTTCCAGCTTAATGAGTTTTGTTCTGACTGAAAAAAAGTATTGGTCTCGTTAACTCCGAACAAACAAGTTGAATCTTTTCTATGAATTTTCTAGTTCCATTCATTTTCCGAACTGAAAACGTATCTATTAATTATATATCACTACTATTAGTGCAGAAGGTTGTATATAAACATTTTGAACTTTTATTCTATTTGTGCTAAAGCTGACATTTTGTAGTATGCAACTGATATAAGTAGTCAGCTACTATGGAAAATAGCAGAGGACAATAAAATATGAAATTATACCAATAAAGCATAAAGAAATAATGAGTTTTTACATACGACCTTTTGCACTATCAGTAGTGAAATGCATGTTCAGTACACATTGGTATTTTTTTTTAATTGGACCAAGAAGCTACCAGTGGGTAGTTTCTCAACAACTGGTTTCATGTTATTATATTCTTTTGTTCACATTTACTGAATGTATTTTTATTTGTAATACTGTAGAAAAAAAATTAATAAAGCCAAACCATTTTAATGAGTCCAAAATAGGCAACATTCAAGTTATTGGCAATATTAGACTTATTTATGCACTGGACTCTATTTTGATGAAGTGGTAAGTTATATGAATTACTTACTTAACTGAGAGGACCCTCCAGTCTGTGGTGCCGTGGTTGCCTCTGAGCAGATCTGTCATGGAGTGGGGTAAGTGCCTCTGGAAGCTGGCACGGATTAAATTTTATCTTTTAGTTCTTTTCTGGCCTGCCCCCACCACTCGCCGCAACGCAACAATCAAGCACAATAACGTTAAACACAAAATAATACCTTTGGGAGAAAAAAAAATCGGAATTATTCAGAAAAAAAAACTACTAGAAATCTGATGTAAGAAATATACTTCGATTAACAAAATAAATCTATTATAAGGGCTATTCAAGAAAACAACCATGAAAATTTCAACTTTTATTTTAATTGTCTTGTCATTAAAAAAATATAAACAATACAAAAAATGTTAACGGCACAGCATTATAATATCGAACGAGATATGGCAGTCTGTACTGTTGCAATATAACAACAATCATGGTCAAAGTTTGTCAATGCCAAGATGGCACTTCGTTATCATCACTTACGATTCTTCCTGTCAAAAGCTCTAATTTCAAGAAGCAGCTGCTCAGCGTCGTTGGCTCCCCAGAGCATGGCCTCGTTGAGCGGGCTCAGCCCTTCGTTGTTGATGAAGTTGTAGTCGGCGCCCTTGTCAAGGAGGGTCTGGACCGCATCCACGTTGTTGGCCCGGGCCGCGAGGTGCAGAGGTGTGCAGCCCTCGGAGTCCTCCGGGTCCACTGCCCCGAGGCCGCGAGGGATCGCCCCCAGCCTGGTGCCCTCCCGCCTCCGCTGTTCGGCCATCAGCTCCATCAGGCTGTTCAGCGCCGCAGGGTGCCCGGCAGCGGCTGCCACGTGCAGTGGTGTCTGTCCTTTACAGTTCTTGGCAGTTATGTTCGCTCCATTGTCTGCCAGCCACCTGTAACAATCAAATCATGAATCAAATGCCTTAAAGATTATTGTATCGACAATACCTTGACTCACCTTAGAGTTTCGACGTTACCCATAGACGCTGCCAGGTGTGCAGCGGTGTTGCCGTCCTCCCTGGGAGCAGTTATGTTACCGCCGGCGCTCAGAAGCAGCGGCAATACCTGAATCTGTCCGTACTCCGCGGCGTAGTGAATCGGCAGGGCACCTCCTGGGCCCCGCAGGTCGCAAGGCACGCCAATGGACAGCAATTCCTCTACTCCTTGGGTATGTCCCGCCTCCGCGAACCGATGCAGCAAAGTGTAACCATCGACGTCTGTCTTACACGCCTGTATTCTTACTTCCAGAAAATTAGAAGATGGAGGAAGTCCCAAGCAACGTTTTGCCACTGGTAATTCGTAGGTGGGAACTTCCAGTTCTGGAACTGACTAAGAGAAAGGCGATAAAACTATAGTAGATAAAAATTAACAAAAATTATTAAAAATCAGTAAATAAGAGTATTTTACAATAATTTAAGAGTAATAACTGTTTGGGATGTTAATAGTTGATTACATAACAAAGTCTAACGTCTCAAAACTTAAGAAAAAATAAACAATAAGAATCAAATCATACTTCCATTTGCAAGGAGTAGTCTACTAGAATGCCGATATGCATTAAAATTAATAAAGAAAAATGAATATTTGAGGACTTGCTGCCAAAAGAAGACATATCCACATCCGACTAAGGTTTTCGATGAGGTATCTATAGCTTTTTAACACACGTATAAAACGTGAGTGATTTCATTTTATCGTAACCCAAAACTTTTTTAGCTACAAAAATTCTCTGAAATGGGTAGTTTTTTTATTAAACTTAATGAGGTACTTAATAATCATGATTACACATTTTTTTCACACATGTGTTGTAACATAATTTGATCACATAATCGGGAAAAAATGGTGGCCTAAAAAAATATTGGGCTATTTGGCCAATATAACCCTTATAGACCTCCACCTTTATAGCCAATATTTTGACTATAAGGGTGGAGGTCACGCCAAACGGCCCAATATTCAGATTTTCTGATAATCAAAATAATCACTTAATAACAATATTACTATTCAATTGGAAATTAAAAGGTTGTTTATAAGTTTCTATCATCTCATATAATCACCGTTTACCAATTTACAGGTTGATATGATGTTGCAAATGCTTTACTACCTTATATTTAGTTTTTTCATTTGTTAAATGAAATGAAAATAAATTTTCCAATAACATCCCAATAGGCCGTTTTTGGTTCAATTATTGCTAATTAAAGTAATTACCTCAAAGAAGGACTCTATTTCAAGTTTTCCATCTGCCTTTACGTCACATTTCCACGGCCAATTTACTGTAGGCGTTTTAAAGGATCCGTATTTTTCAGTTAGACCTGTGAATATGCGAGCAACTGTAGCCGGGATATTGAGTTCCATCGTGTCCAAAGCTACGAGTACCTTCCTCACATCCTCTTTCTCGAAGTGAAAGTCCTCCCTCAGCCACACTTCCAGATATGCCGACCTAAGCTGTTCCACAGTGGCGGCCAATGCGAGCAGAAGCGAGCAGGTGTGGACGTCTTCGGCGAGGAGGGCATCGAACATCGCGAGGATTAAGGCCTGGGCAGTGGTGAGTTCCATCAGCGTGGTCTCTAGCTTGTACACCGAGGCCTTTGCCACCCTGAGCACACTGTTCTTGGCCCTCAGGGTAAGGAGAGCGATAAGGTGCTCTTTCGTACGTTCGAATCCATCGCACTCGGTCACTTCCATCGCCACTGCAATAACAAAATTTTTCATCATTATTTTACTGTAGTGGAATTATAATAAACACCTCTTGCATATTGCTAACTAAGATTTAAGATGCACAGTTCTTACTTATTAGTATACTTCTTATTTTCAGTTTTTTCTAACTTATTTTAAGCCACGCAGTGTTCCCTAAGAACCATATTAAGTATAGAATGTTTATAAACTTCACTTGCAAATAAAAATTTGAATTATAAGTTAATTTAAATTAATGAATCCATGATTTAATTTAGAGGAGAGATGGATTTCTTTTTTTTTTTTTTAATTATTACAGTAATTGATCTGGAAGAAAAAGTTTAAAACAATAAAAATGATGTTTAAATGGTTCTTGGAGATCTGTACAAAAATCACGCAAAAAAATAAAAACATTAATTATAGGAATAATAATGCTCTTTAGATATAATTTTTTTCTTCATATGTGCTTATTTTTAGCAGTTTTACATAATTTATGATTTAAATAGAGTACGTATTGTTGGATCCGCTAGCGTACATTAGACAACATTTTAAAATTAAATATATAGAAGATTCCGTCGGTTAAATATTGGATATAGATAACGCCTTTGATTCATAAGAAACCAAAATTCTGCCAAGTAAGGCCGTTTTCATATCTATATCTACAACCAAAGTCTAATAATTTTTCGTAGGAGAATAAAATCTCCTCCGTCATTTTCGGAAATAAAGTAATTCATTAACATTCGCGGGTTTGATATCCACTAATTTCGTTCATCAGCGAATACTTAAATGCGGCAGAATTCTACATTTGCAAATCGCGTATTTGATGAATCGTGGTTAAAAAAAAATAAAAAATCGCAGTACATACTGAAGGCGTATATAGCTACTGGTAATGCAAAAAGTTTTGTGTTTTATAGCCGAGCATAAAAACTAATTCTTTCTTAACAGTAGCGATGTATACTTATAGGTAGTAAAATGAATGGAACAAAAAAACCTATTGAAAAATGTTTATTTATTCGGAGTTAACAAGATCAATATTTTCCCTTAGTCAGAACACATCTAATTTAAGCTGAAATATAAAAATAAAGTTAATGAAGTAAAAATTAAAATTTACTGAATTTTTTTTTTTGCACTTTCATTTATTTACCCGCATCTGTCAATTACAATCAGCGGATGTGCTGGCATAGTAATGAGAGGGAAAAAAAATAAAAATAAATAAAAAGGTTGGATAGGCATGAGGAATAGCAATACCCAGCGGTATCCCTTCCATGGATTTTATTTACTAACTCATTATTTAAGTAGATCTCTCATCCAGAACATTTTCAGTCGTCTTCTGGAGTTCTTGGGCATACTAGTTCTAGCCATTAGTTTTACCAGCTGGTTGGAGTGCCCGTTTAACATCTTATGAAATCGTTTGTAGTACGTTCGTATGTGTTCATTGACTGTCGGAACGTGTAGGACGGTGTGTAAAGTGTGGTTGTTTATGTACCATGGTGCTTGAGTGATTAGTCGTAGTATTTTAGACTGAAAAGGTTGAAGTTTTTCTATGTGTTTTGGTTTTGCAATTCTATATATTTGTAGTCCGTAAGTCCAATGAGGTTTTAAAAGATATGTGTAAATACTTAGTTTCTGTCTTGCTTTTAATTTGGAATGTCGTCTTAACAATTTTAGAGATTTTAGTCTTAGATTTAATGTGATTCGTTTTTTCTTCACATGTGGACCCCATGTCATTCTGCTATCGAACGTAAGGCCTGGGTATTGTACTCTGTCTGTTTGTGGAATCGGTATGTTGTCTAAGTATACAGGAGGGCATGTTTCTGGTCTTAGAGTAAATGTGATGTATTTGTGAGTAATTGTGACTTTTGGTAAGTTTTTCGAGTTTTCCAAAGTTTATCAATCGAATATTATTTGTAAGTGATGTTGTAAGTTAAGTGATGCCTCAGTAGGATTGTGTTGGCTGGTAATAATAGCAGTGTCGTCTGCGTTGGTTGCTGTAAGATTGTGGATACTTAGAGGAATGTCGTGTGTGTGTGTGTGATATACAGTAGTGGAGCTAGGATTGGTCCCTGAGGTACACCAGCTAAAACTGATCGAATTGAGGATAGACGTTGACCATGCCGAATGGAGAAAAATCTATCTGAGAGAAAGGAATGGAGAATTAAGTAGTAAGTATGTGGAAGTATGGTCTTAAGTTTGAAGAGAAGCCCCTGATACTAAGCTTTGTCAAACATCCAGAAATACTCCGGTTGCATATAATTTCCGCTCTAGTGCTGTAGAGATGTAGTCAGTCACCATGTGCAATTTTTGTGTTATTGAATGTAATTTTCGAAACCCGAATGGATGGTCAGGAATAATCTGTCAGTCTGTTAGTATATGCTATAGTCGTGGCTACAATAGTTTTTCGAATAACTTAGAACATTGTAAGGAGAAGAGTTGTAAGGAGGAATTGGAATAAGAGGGTTTTAAATGTGGATAAGGATGGTGCATGGCGGATTTGAAGTGGGATGGAATTCCAAAATGTGGTGGAGCAGACATTAAAGGAGTGTTGAAATGAGGCCGATTTGTGAAAAGGGGTATAAAGTCGGAAGGAGGAGATCTTGTGGAGAGGGAGTGGACAGATGACTTGAATTTAAGGAGATTGAATGCGTAGGACAGACGATGATTATAGATTATTTTGTAAAGGAATGTACTTATTGTCTTCTGAAGGAGAGAAAGAGCCACCCTAACTCGGCGTAGTAGTGGGAAACATGAGAACGTCTCGGGGTTACATTGACAAATCGTACTAAGCCATTCATTATTCTTTTCAGTCTGTCTCCAAGTTCCGATGAGAGGCCACCGTACACTACGCAGCCGTAGTCAATGTGGGGGAAGATGAGGGCGGATACTAGGAATCTACGTGTGGATATGGGTAGGAGATGGCGGAAGCGATGGATGAGTTTCAGGATGGAAATTGAACGTCAGGATATGACGGAAATATGGTGATTTTAGGACAGGGTTTGATCTATGATAACACCTAAGTTTTTAACTGAATGTTGAAGGTAATGGGTTGGTCATTTAGGTACAGGAGAGGTATGTTGGTATTGGATCTGAGAAGGGGTTTGGAAGCAATGACAATGGTTTGGGTTTTAGCAGCGTTTAACCTTAATCCATTTTCACTTGCCCAGGCATAAATCCGATTTAGGTCTTCTTGTATTTTGGCAAACGCATCATGGTGGATTTTAGATATTGGCGGATTCCCCATTCAGAGGGAGCAAAGAAGAGGTAAATTTGGGAATCATCGGCATAAAGGTGATGTGAACAGTGGAGGATTGATTTATGAAGATCGTTAATATATGAATTATAATATGTATATATATATATAGGATAATGGGGCAAGTTCGCTGATTTTTGTGGCCTGGATGTTGATGAGGCCCATGCTGCATCTTGTATGCTTTTTGTGGATTTTTCAACAGCTTCTTCTAATTCCTCATGATTTTTAATTGAACCTGAAACAGAAAGATTGGTATTCAAATGGTCTCTATATGCGTCCTAATCCATGCAGCCTTTTATGAGCCAAGGCTTTTTTGTGCTTCGGAAGGCGCGTCGAAGAGAATCATGTGTACTGAGGAGTGATCAGAACAAAGATCGGAGGTTGCTTGACGGAAATGGTACGGCTCTTAGTTCTTCTGTAATAAAAGAAATCAAGTAAGTCGGGAGTTTTGCGTCTGGAGGTGGGTCAATAAGTTGGTGAATTCGGAGTTACAGTGTCTAATGAAAGTTCATGGAGGATAGACCAGAGATTTCAGCCTCTAGAAGTACACAACCTTGAGCCCCAGCTTTGTTTAGCATTATAGTCCCCACCTGCGGTGAAACATCTTCCAAGGCGTTTCGTTTGCTATAAATGAGATTAATGCGTGGTAATTCTTTATAAAAATTGGTGGAGTTTTGAGGCGGTCTTCTAACTTCTTCAGTTCGTAAATAAGTTATGTTGGTTAAAACCTGAAAACTGCTCGAGGTTGGGATAGATTCTGTCGGTCGTTTTTGAGCTCTTGGCTCGCTCGAATCTGTCATAGGTCTTTTACGGCCAATAATCAGATCTCAGGAGCCGACTTCATTGTTTATATCACTATTTTTAAAGTCCATGTTACTTACCTCAGTTTGAGATGATTCCACCATTGTTTGGTGTGTTTTGTACTTCAGCAATCTTGTCTTGATAAAACACTTTTGTTAAACAAAAATTAAGTATTTACACTTAATTAACACTTTTTTTGGAAGACAAAACCTTTCACCTTATTTAATATCCTACTGAAAATTAAATGAAAATCAAGTGAAGGCAGTAAGTGTCATGCAAATAACGTTTGGAATCGACTAAACAATGCAGTATAAATTAACTTTTTGAATAAAACCTAAAATGTTACATAAAACCTAAAACTCATAAAAATATTACATTTATCCCCTATTCCATGTGATCAATACTTTCCGCATTTCACAACCATTGCATTATTAATAGGTACTTATATTAATTTTGATTATTAAATGGAATTAAATAAAATTGGTACTAGACAATTTCTTAACTATTCTCCAAATTTCTCACAAGTTTGGGTCAAATTGAACGAGCTGTTTTCAAAATATATTTTTGTTATTGGTATTTTTTGTAGTTTATTTTGTTTACTATCATTAGAATTCTTTTACATATAAGCGAATATATTTTTCACTATAGATCTTTAGTTTTGTATTTGTTTTTAAACTTTAATTTATTTTTTTTCTCTCGATGTAATACATCTTTTGTCCAGAATCACCTTTATTAAATTAAATGTTTGCTTCCTTTATTTTACTTTCATCTAATTCTGTCAAAAAGGCCAAAAGTTATAACTAAATTTAAAAAAAAAATTATAGTTAAAAATATTAGTACCTCGATGGGAGGTACGATAAGTCCCTGTGTCATGAAGTTCAGTTAATATTAATATTTAATTAATTAGTTATAATAATAGTTAAGTTAATATTAATATTTTTTCAATTTAGACTTTATTCTCAAAGGTTC